AGAATGAGAGCACAAGGAGAGGAAAAAGGGAGATAGTGATTAAAGGAGCAGAAAAGTCAAAATGATTATATATTCTAGGATTGTGTATATACATACATATTTTATACACATATATTCATAGAAGAAGAAAGAGAAAATGAAAACTAGAAAGTTCAAGATTATCTAGACAGTCGCCAAGCGGGCCATAAGCGCGTCTCCAAACCAAGCAGGAAAGTGGGCACACAACCAACTCGAGACACATAAAATCCTCAGCACCTTTCCTGCAACACACAACGAGCCGCTAGTCCTTCAGAGAACAAACTAAACTGTAGCTTTCTCTACAACACTACCACTTACTATATCACTCCACGTTGCTTTTATTACAATATGACCAAAATGGAGAACGAAAATACTATCTCTCACAAAACGACAACTGGAGAATCTCCCAAAGGCAAAGAGGATTCACTTCTCCCCATTGCTGAGAAGGGACTTTTCTTCGGCGATTCCTTCTTCGAGGATATTCGGAAGCAATTTGAGACAGCCATCGACCAAATGCTGGACACTTGGGGAGAAGCCAAATCCGTGAGTGATCTGATGAGTAGCTACAGACGTGTAAGAGACCGCAATTTGCAGCAGGAGAACCAAGTCATGGCCTTCAGCGAAGACGACCAGAATCACAAGGTTAGACAAATGAACTATTCAGATTCACGATAGCACTACTTTTCTAGAATAATTTGAATTAAGCAGACGACTTATTAAGACAATTGCGCAAATTTAAATGAGAAGGAAAGTACTAGAAAAATTACTATCCTGAACTGATTTTATATACAGGTTGTCCTGGATGTTCATGACTTCAAGAGTGGAGACGTTAAGGTCAGAGTGGAAGACAATCAGGTGGTAGTGGAAGGTCGAGTGGAAAAGGAAGAGGGCGACTTCAAGTCCATGAAAAGCTTCTGTCGACATTTCAACTTCCCAGGCAAAGTGGACATGGAGGCCGTGACTTCCGCAATGTCTTCCGATGGCGTGTTGACTGTCACGTCTCCTAAGATTATAGAGAAAGCGTAAACAGGGACAAATTTTATTAATGTATGTAATTGTAAGAATTATAATCTGTGAGTTATGTTTTCTTAATTTTTAAAACAGACTAAATTAATAAAGTGAATAAGGTTATTCAAATAACTGACATTCGTTTACGTATTACCCTACACTTGCACAGTATGGTATTAATTTTGAATGTTGCACGAGTGTATAAGTGCATATTGATGATAAGTATATAGATTAATAAATAAATGAATAGACAGATATTTATACTATATTTTATACATACATATACACAAAAACATACTTTATACATAATATACAAATATACTTTATATATGTTTATACATACACACACGCACATATATATACATATATAATGAGGAAAAATATACAGAATGACAGGCTGGTTGTTCTGCAATACGTTTACTATTCTTTGATGCCAGATGACTATTGAAGATAATAATAATAAGACAAAGATATATCACCAACTAAAGAAAGTTCACTTCTTCCAATGGCTTAACTTGTCTCTCATGATTCATTTGCGATGATACTGGGATGCAGTTCGAGAAATCATGCAAGTGAAATCCTTGACGCGAGAGACGCCAAATTTACGAGTGACCTTGATTGATGTTATAATGATAAATATTGCATATATATATATATATATATATATATATATATATATATATATATATATATATATATATATATGCATATATATATATATATATATATATATATATATATATATATGCATGTGTGTGTGTTTGTGTGTGTTTATGTGTCTGGCTTGTATATGCATTGGCAATTATTCGTGCATCTACATGTAATAAAACATCAGAAAAAATAATTTATACAATGTAGAAAAAAATACATTGACAATAGAAAATATAATTTACATTGATTTTATGCCCAGGTTGTGTTGGTATACATGACTCTAAGGTTGGAGACGTCAAAGTCAAAGTGGAGGATAGCAAACACGTGGTGATGGAGGGTCGAGTGGAAAAGGAAGAGTGCAGGAACTCCTTCACAATATTTGAATACTTATGTGAAAAAATAGGGATATAATACTCTCCGTGTATTCACATGCATAAATGCAAGCTGTAAGGCCTTGTGTGATTAATTCTATACTATTCACACACAAACATATTATTATACATGCAGTATATATACATGTGTGTGTGTGTGTGCGCGCGCGTGTGTGTGTGTGCGTGTGTGCGTGCATATATATATATATATATATATATATATATATATATATATATATATATATATATATATATATATATATATATATGTATGTATGTATACACACATACACACACACACACACACACACACACACACACACACACACACACACACACACACACACACATATATATAATATATATATATATATATATATATATATATATATATATATATATGTATGTATATGTATATATATGCATTATATTGTATATACGAGTACACACACACACACACACACAAACACACACACACACACACACACACACACACACACACACACACACACACATATATATATATATATATATAATATATATATATATATATATATATATATATATATATATGTATATATTTATGTATGTATGTATATGTATATATATATAATATATATATTATATATATATATATATATATATATATATGTGTGTGTGTACATGTGTTTATATATATCTGTATGTGTGTGTGCGTGGGAGATTAGATGGAAGAATTCCATTCATATAATGGATCAATGTTTGTTTACAATTGGCTTGCATATTTTGCCTCTTGAACTGTTCAGTGGTTCGAAATAGAACTGGTTCTTTGCCAGCTGCCTTTGGTTACGTAGTCTTTGCCTGCACGTGATGGATCTTTTTCTTATTCAACACCTTTCTTTTAGCAAACTTTGAAGAATATCAGTCATGTCATCTGAAGTTCGGACTGCAACGTTAATATCTCCCAGTTGAAACATCCTGTCTTCTATAATTCATTTTCGAAAATAATACAAATGTTTTGTGAGACCCATCAACCAAATCTTTATTGAGTGACAGAATGCGAGTGCGAAACTTTATGGTTATTGTAGAAGCATGAGTTTAAATTAGTGCAACAGCATTCGCAGACAAAGATACTGTGTTCATTATATGAACATTCTCTCAGTGGGTACATTCCGTAGAGTCATGGTAGAGTGAGCAGTTAGCTGCCTCTATTGGAAGGTCTTCGGATATCATTGCGGCAAATGCAGAAGGTATGAATGAGAGTGGATAACTTCACATCCAAAGATATTTTCAATTCCTTTTTCTACAAAAGAGGTAGGTATAAAGATTATATAAAGCTATCCTGTCACAGCTAATCTCATCGGACAGCAGCCTACTTAATTTTAACATTTAATATTTGTGATTTAACTGAAGAGAGAGAGAAGCAAACTGAAAGATTCAAGATTATCAAGACAGTAACCAGGCACAATCGCGTGTTCAAATGCAGGTGGAATGTGGGCGCAGAACTAATTCCTGCCACATAAGTCTCCGCTTCCACCTCTAGCTAAATATACAGCTCGAATGCTGCGTTCGGAACTCCTCGTCCTGCTTGTCCAAAGAAGTTGGACAAGATGTTTTGACCGTTCGAAGCCTCTACTTTCTCATCCTGATCAAAGTGTCCATCTCGTGCATCTTGCCCTCCTGCGGAGCTGGGCGAACAGGATGAGATGACGTCACAATAGCATTTGCATGTAAACAATGACATTTGCAGGCAACCACAAGATACTGATGGATAGTTTTATGGCCCTTTATTGATGTTCTCAAAGGATATCTTTGTGTTTATCAGTTGCAGGTAAGTTAAATATGCTTCAAATGAGTTACAAAATCTATGCAGTGTGTAAACTAAAGACACCGGTATGATAAATGAGTGAATCTTTACTTGCGAGCTGGTTCCATTCTGAGCAGCGAGGGTCTTGGAGGTTCCGAACGCGGCCTCTGTCCTGCTGGTCCTGACAAGTTGTCTGGACGAGCAAGACGAGGAGTTCCGACAGCAACATAATCACAATATTACCTGGTTATATCTTCTCTGAAAACCAATGGCCAAGATGGAGAACGATGTCTCTCTCATGAACAGAAAACTGGGGAAGATTCCGAATGCAAAGAGATTCACCTCTCCCCATAGCCGAGAAGGAACTTTTCTTCCATGATTCTTTCTTTGAGGATATTCAGAAGTACTTTGAGACAGCTGTCGAACTAAGCCAAATGACCTCACGAGTGGCTTTACACCTGTGCGAGAACGTAATAAAACGATAACTAAAATTACTGCTTTCGAGTAATTCAAAATGATCTCATATCCAGGTGGTATTGGATGCCCAAGACTTCAAGAGTGGAGACGTTAAGGTCAGAGTGGAAGGCAATCAGGTGGTGGTGGAAGGTCGAGTGGAAAAGGAAGAGGGCGACTTCAAGTCGATGAAAAGTTTCTGTCGACGTTTCAACTTCCCAGACAAAGTGGACATGGAGGCCGTGACTTCCGCAGACGTAAACAGGATTTTTTTAATCAATGAATGTGAATGAATGTAAGCTATGTATTCTTAATTTTGGGCACTATGAGATCCCGATGGCGTGTTGAGTATCTTGGTTCCTAAGTTTAAAGAGGAATCGTAGACAGGATGACAATGTTCTGATATAAAATCTAGATTATCAGATTAGAAAGGATATTATTCAATACATTAAGGGTATTTATTTTGCTAAATATATATCAGTGTATTAAATGCCTGTTCCATATATATATATATATAATATATATATATATATATATATATATATATATATATATATATATATATTTATATATCTGTTTCATTTGTCTTCTAAATAGGTGCTGTTAACATGATATAAATATGTGCATGTGCATGTGTGTGTGTGAATGCTTTTGTATGTGTGTATGCATTTATGCGTATACAACGGAGAATCAGGAGAAGAAAAAAGAAAACATCAGGTATATCATGTTGATTTTATTATAGAACGCCATCATTGAATGGAAATGAAGTCTTACAGGCAGTGTGGTAAGAATATCTTTACAACAGCCATCGCGGAAATCTGTCTTGCTGTGATTATTCTGGTGTGGACGTGTTTCCTCATCCCAGAATTCCACCAACCCGAAGCGAATCTAGTACAAGCTTGTCTTTCCTATTAAGACATTTAATAAAACATGAAATTCTGGAGTGAATTGCGCAGATCTGCATTCTAGTCTTTCTGTATGAAAAGCTGTGCAGTTCAGTCATTCTCTGGCCAGTCTGGTAAGGATGTCTCAGTCCTTACATGTCTGTCAGCATTCGTTATCATGCGCATTTGTAACCGAGGACTGGACTTGATAATCGCCTTTCGTAATCAGCGCAATTAGATTAAACTTTTAGCTGAATCGCACGTGACATGAATCTGGCCGGCTTTGCGCACTTAGGAGGCGCAATTATCGCGCATCCGCACTTGTTCAGATATTGCATCATCGCACCTGCAAAAAATCCGGCACCTTCCAGTCTGGTGTTTTGGCCATAAGTAAAGAACGTTCCTGAGAATAACATCGACAAGAATTCCTGGCGAAGATTATCACAAAAGCCTTTTCTCGTGAGGATTTTCCCAAGGTCTTCTTCCTCAGGAGGTCTTTTCCATCTCCGGCGAGTCCATTCGCCGGCGTCTTGAGTGTTCAGCGCACTCGAAACGAGGCTTCTAATTTTGCATTTGTGTTCAATCCATTTTCTTAAACTATGAAATGTCTCCAATGCTTAAGTCAGATGTTACCTGTCGGAGAGATAAAATTATGACACTCATAAGTTAATATTATTAACATGAGAAATCCTGATCTAAATATATTCTTCCTAATTCCAATATCACCCACGTGGAAGGAATAAAAGTTTAATAGTACTGTTTCACTGACCTTCTTAGCTACGGTGATGGTGAGGATGCCGTCGCGGGACAACACAGATCGCACAGTATCAACGCTGACGAGGCTCGGGAAGAGGAACCGGCGGTAGAAGCCCTTCCTCGAGGCGGGGTTCCCTTCGCCGTTCTCCGCGCAGCTCTCGATGATCAGCTCGTTCTCGTTCACCACGTCGAACCTCA